CAAGTTATCAAAACTATGGCGATGATGAAAGAGAGAGTTAAGGTGAGGAAGTCAAATGATGAAGCGACCCCAGTGTAGAAACCCATTCGTATTCTAGCACCACTAATCATGGTAATTGCACTCACTAGCCTATTGAAGCCGATTACGCTGAGCGAACGTCGCTCGCGAGGCACGTGTGGCCTCTCCTTGCTCCTTAGGTGTACTTTTCCTTTCCTTTCTTTACTATCCATTCTCATCGAGTGTCGGGCTTTGACCCTCAGGACGCCTATAGCGCTGTGGTTGATACCGGATTCAGCACAATCAGCTCTCCTTCGTCGATGCAGCGAGCACAAGAAATTTTAATATACGGGTATTTTGCATCTTTCCCTCGTAGACCTTGTCTTGCACCTAGAAGCCTATGTGAAGACAATTCTTGCCGTACCTCATCAGCAGTACTAGGCTGGATTAATACATTTCCCTCTCTTTGCTTATTAATTATAAGATCTAAAAACGGGGCTACGCAGGGTAGTAGTGGGACGCTTGTTCTCCTATTCTCTTCTGTTATTTTATACTTTTGAAAAGAGAAGTTTTGAATGTATTTGAAAGAAGCCAAGAAAACTTCCAGCGGCGCTGAGACGTATTCTGATGCTAACGTCTTATGGATGTGTTTGAGAACCTCGTGAGGGAGTTGTCCTTCCAGCGTCATGTAGTTGGCGGGGAGCAAACGAATTTTCTCTGAAATCCACGATTCAGGATCTAGATAGTATCTTTGGGAGAGGTAATAAGCTAGGTAAAGCGACGCAAGGTGCACGAAATGGTCCCGGTGAACTGCGCGTAGGAAATGCTCAAGTGGGGGCAGAAATCCATCCTTATCGAAGTCGTACAGACCATCGCTGGAGATAACGGCGGCGGCTGGAAACACAGCAATGGGGGAGGCCTTTTTTAGCCGCGCGGCTGTTCGGATCTGCACGGCGTGCTGTATTTTGCAGTCCAGCCCTAACCCAGTTTGCTGTGCCGAAGGAAGCAGAAAAATCGACAACCCGAAGCCATAACGCGCTAGACGGGCGCGAAAAGATGCTGAGGTGATCAATTGCGCCACTACTTATTATTTCGTTACTTTTATTTTCTTCAGAGGAGAGGGAGGGAGAAGCGTCTAAAGAAAAAAAGTGCGAGATGCGGGTTAGATAAGAAGGGTCGGCACCTTAAGTTGATATACTTAGTTTTTCCCATATTAGTTATTTTGGGGCATGTGCGCGTTGTGTTTTCCGATTATTTACACTCATACCTCCTTGCCCCTTAGTCAATAATCTGCAAAAATGTGAAACAGAAATGTATATCTACTCATCTATATACTGATAGGTGTCTATATATATATGTATATATATATATATGATCAAAAATGATAAATGATTTAAAGCAGATTTGGCTGTCTTCTTACCATACGCATACACATAAAAGAATATGTTTATATATAAGAAGCGACATATTGTATTTCTTGTTAAAGTGTAGTTTCTTTCATTTATCTTACCAGGTAAAATAATCTGGTCTTTAGTATACATAATTTTTAATTGTAAAATAAACATGATACAATGCAACCCGACTTCAAAGCCACAGTTAAATGAAAATATTCCGAGTAAAACGATAGACCCATTTCAGGGCTATTCCCAAGACAAACATGGAGACTACGGTACTTACTGAAATGAGAAAGGCAAGGAAGAAGGGGGAGGCGACGAGGGAAGATCAACTAACATAAATTACTTCCTATCCGCATTTGCATGGTACTGAATCGCAACCTATGCGCGTTGATAAGAGAAAGAGAGAATGAGGAAACCACTATTCCATTGATAGTAATCCAATGCAGTAGTGAATTCGACAGCCAGGTGTCTCCCCTAGCCAATCATTTGTGATATCTCCCCTTTGAGTGAAGAAGCTAAAATAATCTGAACACATCTTTTTTGCAGGGCTGCAGTTGATCAGCACGATACCCCTAACCTTCGCATTGTTAACGGGACACTCCAATTAGTCAATAACGCCAGCTCCACAAGGCTGACATAAATCGCAATACGAGCTTAATCACATCAAAAGAGGACATTAGCACCAAGAGTAACCCTCCAGACAGAGAAAAGATAATAATCGGAGCCGCAGATCCACGTTTCGTGCTGCCGATAGGGACGCAATAAACCTTCGCGAGCCGCGAAATACTCGAGAGAGGGGAATCAGGACAAACACCAAAAGCAGCAAGATAACGAGTATGGGATCAGACAGAAAAGGAGGATAGCGTTAGATGAATGGTAACACAGAGGCAGTGATCCCCCTAGTAACGACAAGATCTCTAGAAGAGACGCCAAAGCTGCCAATGACAAGTATCCAAGGTATCTATTCGTCATATTATCATTGTGTAACTCCCATAAATGTCTTCTAAATATTATAATAACAGGTAAATGGCGCAAAGAATGTAGTATTCAATTACTGCAACCTCCATGGTCCTAACAACAACATGGGGGAAAACATAATGATAAGAACCCTTATATAGTGGAAAATTCGAAGAATTAAAAGCTTATGACCTTCTGTTGTTGTTTTTTGACAGAGTAAAAATGATTATAAGGATAACACGCGCTGAAAAGATTCCCTACCCCTTGTTAGGTATGATGTTTTTTCCTCTATCTCCTGCACCTAGAAAACGGTGTAGTAGGAAACAATAAAAATAAGAAAGATAAAAGCCATACGCGTGGAAAAATCGAAAAATAGATCCTAAAGAACCATAATGATGATAATAATAGAAGTAAACATTTGTGACTATCTGGCATTGAATGGTTTTCTGACAATCTGGCTCACCTGAAAAAATGCCTGGCATAATGACATAGTTCGTATATCTAGAAACGTACACCAAAATAATACATCGAGCAATCCATTAAGGAAAAACAAATGAACACATGTACACACACGCATACACATATAAAGACGTGTGTATATGCATAGATTCAAACATAGCTACATAATACGATATTATTTTCATCCTCTTTTTCACACTAACCAGTGGATAACACTGAGATGTAGTAGACATTACAAGAACAATGGTACCAGACACATATCATTTTAATTTACATATATGGGAACACACCTCCCCGAAAAATTGTAATAGCTTTACTTTTTGCTCCACACTTGCGTTCGTTCCTTCCGTAAGTACGCTGCAACGTCCGGCGCGGTATCCGGATGCGAATCCGCGCGAAAACCCTCAAATTTTGCGAATAAATCCGCCCCCGCATCGACGAGTGCCTCCGCCAGCTTGACGTCATCGATGCACATAAAAAGAGGTGGACGACCATCAGTCAAACGGGGTCGATTTGGATCCGCATTTAATTCTAAAAGCGTCTTTACGGATTCCGTACGCTCCAATACGCAGGCCAGCTGCAGAGGTGTCATACCCTCGCACAACTCGCTTTCCAAGTCCACCTTCAACGAAGTCACCTGCTCTCGTATCGTCGCCAGATCCTCCTCACGAATTGCCTTCTCCATGATTTGCTTCTCGGTAAATAGCGGTGAGCTGACGTAGTCGTTATCCAGTTCAGTAGAGCGGTAGAAGATCTTCCCGGAGATTGGGTACTCGACGTCGATGTCGCTTTCGCTATCGCTATCGCGACCTTGATTGCGGCGGATCTGTCGCTTGCGCTGAATCTCGGAGAACATGTTCACGTTTGCAGGGAGTATACGCGTCCATTTCGGGACGCCCGAGACCTTCCGTGCGATGATCGAAATTTGCAGCAGCAGCAGCGGAAACGGCTTAACGGAAGGCCCATTCGGATCGAACGCCTTTTGGACGCAGAAAAAGCAGCGGAATAACTCCCTGCGGGGGAAGCGCTTCGGCTCTGGTTTTAGATGGTAGATAAACCGCGTCACTTCACGGAAAAAAGTCTCATCGACGGTATTGCAGTTCTGCAGGTAAACCCAGTCTCCATTATTGACGCTGACATCTATGTAATCCATGATGTTTTGCTTGCTTTTGTTCTGCGCGAGGTCGAACACCCAAACCGCGGAGTCCTGCTGGGTGGCCATCGCGTAAACCGAAACGAAGGGATCCTCATCTTCCATGATGAAAATGATCGGAGTGCGGCAGTCAGAGTTTTTGATCGCCCTCGAGACGTGCTTCACTGGAATTAGATCCTTTGAGATCTTTATCGATGCTCTTTGTGCCATGTGGAACCAATCTTATTGCTTGAATAACACAAAAACAAAAAAACTCCATAAAATAAAAATATTAATAATAAAAACAGTGTAAAACAATAGAAAGGAAATGCAAGGGAAAAAAGAATGCACGCATATTTTTTTTAACATGAAAACATATTCTTTGATCGAATCACCAGATCGATCTTTCGTCTTTCAGAGAAAAGTGAACCTCGACAACAAGAAAGAGTTCCAAAGGTGAATAAGGAATCGGGATCACAGATAAAAAAAAGAACAAAAAACACTTTAACATTAAATCACATTTTTCTCGTGCATTTCTGCTCTCATTCTCAACTAAGGGGTTAATTGATAATATATATTTTCACAGAATGAATAAAGGATTAACGCACTACGTTGCACATGGAATTTGGCAATTATTTCAAGAAAAAAGTATAACCTAAAAGACGAATTCACATCACCTCACTTTGTATGGTCTCACTTGACCGAAAAAAACAAAAAAACACCAATAGTAAAACTGATAATGGTCGAACCCCTTTTTTCCAGAACTGTATATATGCACACACCTTTTCACAATGGAAAACAAATTTTCACAAGTGTTGCCGTTGGATGATCTTCATTTTACGAAACTCCTCCACATTCCGCGCACCACAGGTGAACATAGCCAATTGAAACTCCCTCTTAAGGCGCTGAAGAACCACCCTAACACGGTCTGAGCTCTCCAAAGATGCAGCCAAAAACGGCATCGCCGCGGTTGCTACCTCCGCGCCCATCAGCAACGACTTTGCTATATCGACCCCGTTACGAATCCCGCCGCCGGCGATCAAATGAAGATCCCCACCTGACGCCAGCTCCGCGGACTCCCTCAAACAAACATCAGTAGGAATACCTATGTCGCGAAAAATATACCCGATATTGGTTTCCTCGTCTTCATAGCTCTGGCGGCGGCCCTCAATCCACGCCCAGGAGGTTCCCCCGCAGCCTGAAATATCGATATAACGTACACCTATTTCTTTGAGCACCCGCACCGACTCCGGATCGATGCCATGGCCAACCCCTTTAACAATCACCGGCACTTTAATTTGTGGGAGAATCCTCTTGAGCTTCCCGACGAGCCCTTCGAAGTTCGTATCCCCTTCCGGCTGGCATAACTCCTGCGTGTGGTTGAGATGGATAAAAAGGCCGTCCGCGTTGACTGTGTTGACGAGGCGATTCAGCTCCTCCGCACCGAACCCGTAGTTCAGCTGCACGAGGCCGATGTTCGCGAACATCATCACCGACGGGCAAAACGCTTTCACATCGAAGGTGAAGGCAGCAGAGGGGTAGCGGTTGATGATACGCATGCTTCCAACGCCGAACGGGATCTTTTCCGCCTCGCATGCCTTCGCAAGGTTTTCGTTGATCACCCGCCCGTGCGCCTCACCGCCTGTCATCGAGGAGATAATGAAGGGGAAGGCGATTTGCCGCCCCATGAAAGTGCAGGATGGATCCACCTTCGCAAGATCTACCTCCGGTAACGCGCGGTAGGGAAGAGAGTACTTATTCCAAATCGAACCTAACGCCTTGTGCGGTTCCACATCTTTGTTTAGGCAGATGTCAATGTGGTCCTTCTTTCGCTTCTGCAGGGCTGCCTCGCGGTCGTTTGGTAAAGAGTCACTTGACATTGGATTCGTCCTTCCTATAGTGTCTTCGTCCGCAAATGAAGGGTGTGGGGAAAATAAGTAAGTAAAAAACGTGTCCTTGAGGAGTTGCGCGAGATGATGCGGGTAAACGAGAAAAATATCAACTGAGATTGCTGTAAAAATAAGAGCAACAAAATTGTGAAAATGTTCTACTGTCAGGGCACTAATTCGACAAGACTTGGAAGATCAATGGAAGCAACACGGCTGAATAATACTACTAATAATAGTAAAGTAATTGTATATTGCTATTATTAGTATTATTTCTATTTTCCATTTAAAATTCGATAGACCCCACTGACCTTCGCCCATATTTTAATGATTAGTCCATGGAGGTATTATATATTGGCATCTTTTCGAGTGCTCAGATAAGTTATGTGCTGCTCTACCAGCTGCCGCACCTCCGCCGCATCAAGCGAAGGAGCTACTCCGGCTGCTGAGTTTCGGCTAGCCCCGTAGTACCCCCGTGCACCCTCGCGTTCGATCTCCTTTTCGAATGAAAAATTAGCGGGAATCACGACCTTTAGCGTTTCAAAAAGTTCTGAAAAAGCTTTTTTAGCCTGCTCCTTGCTATCATCAATCCAAAAGCATACATCGGCTGCGTTGTTCCCGTTAGGTTTAACATTTTTACTACACAAACGATGAGGGGTGAAGCCAAGGTTAGACATCAAGAAGCGAATCGATACTAGCCCCCTGAGTCCACACAAAATTTCGCGAAGCCAGCGAACACGCAGGCGTGGCAAGTAAATTCGAATCAAAAAGCCCATCTCCCTCGGGAAGTACGCCAAATAACGGCTGATGGCACTACAGTCGCCCTCATCGCATGCCTCGCAAAGCCTCAATGTGTGTTGAACGTCACGACTAGACATCAGTTCCTCCGTCTCAGGTTTGCTGGACGACGCCCTTATTTGCGCATTTGTGTAATTGATAAGCTCCGTCGAAAGGGCGTCGTGCTGCTGGCTGAGAGATAAATAGGCAAGCCGATAACAGAAAAACTCGGGTATATTGCATTCCGACTTACGCACCGAGTCTGACAAATAAAGTCGTTTAAGCGCGGCCTGGCATTGATTAAATTCCCCAACATCCCCAATCTCCAGGCAAAGCCGCGCGTGCAGCTCGTACACGTTGACAGCGAAACTATCCGCAATGTTTTGCACCCGTAGGTCCTGCCGCATCGCTTTAAGCTGCTCGTTGAGATACTTAAGGGCGCTCGCACGGTTTTCTGAGCTCTCCCTCACCCGCCCTTGCGCGCAAACGAACGCGAATGCCTTTTTTAAGACGGGTAGCGGGCGAATATCCTCGACCGTTGGCTCATAGCGGGAGTATGCACGCTCCAGCTCGACAGAAGTGCCGGCAAACGTCTTTCCCGAGCT